GTACCGTACATGGCAAAGGATGCACGCAGCAGCAGCATGCGCAACGTGCGCATCTTCGCTAAAGTTAGCGTCGAGTGCAAGCAAAGCCCCGATCGAAAGGTTTTGAAACGTCTCAAGGTTGACCGCTGTTCCGACAGCCAATTTGAAGCGACTTTCTTTGCAGACGAGCATGAAGCAGTCGTGAGTCGTGAGTCGTGAATCGTGCGTGCAGGGATGCTTGGCCAGTCGAGCCTGAGTGCAGTCGGAACGAGTGGCCGCCGGCCGGCCGCGCCCACGGTGTACGTTTACTCCACATTCGTACTTTGCCAGCCGGTCCGTATATAAACAGCCAAAAGGCACTTTTCTTCCACAACATGTAGCCCGCCCCCAAAGCAATCAGCATCCTCAAGTGTAGCAGAATCCATCGCTCATCTTCACTCACTCTAGCCAAGATGCAACTCACTCCCTCCTTCGTCGCTTTGGCAGCCGCTTCGGCTGCCGTTGCAGCAAACGCCAGCCCTGTGAGCCAGCTGCACAAGCGAGCTGGTGCACCTTTCACCTTCGATGGAAGGACATTCCAGGACAAGGTGAGCCTTCCTTCCAAGCGCTCGATCGAGAGCAGCAGAAATTCGAGTAATGCCTGCTCGGAATATTGACTGATCGCCGTGCACACCCTTGCTGCGAACAGGGTCTGGTGGGCTTTGCACGCATTCCAACGGATGCCTTGGACAGCTTTGGAGAGACGATCGGAGGTGTGGGCTCTGCCATCGCGCTGGAGTACTTCAGACCCTCGGCCACAGGCGGTACATTTAGCATTCTGCTTCAACCGGACAGAGGGCACAACTCTGGCGGAGCAGAAACATCCGACTACCGAGCTCGCAACCACCGTTACCTCGGCACGCTCTCTGCGCAAAATGGAACGAATGAGAACATTTCCCTCAGATACGTCAACTCTCAACTTTATCGCGCAGGACCCGATTATGCGCTCAACTTCACCACAGGCTTGGATCCCAACGGCACACGACAATCCAACCCTCGCGCTCCCAATCTGCCCATCGCTTTGCCCAACAACCACATCAGCTTCGACACTGAAGGGCTGGCCATCTCTTCCAACGGTCTTCAATTGTTCGTCTCGGACGAGTACCAGCCAGGCATCTACATCATCGATCGTACCACTGGTGTCCTGCTCAACACCATCGTTCCCCCACCCGCCATTCTGCCCTACGACGCTACGGGCAAGCTGAACTTTACGAGTCTGAGCAACCCGACCACTGGCCGAGCACCGAACCAGGGCTTCGAAGGTCTGACGCTGGACCGCAACACCAACACTCTTTGGGCTCTGCTGCAATCAGCAACGATTCAGGACAGCAACAAGGGAAGCAAGAGCACAAACAGGTACACTCGTCTGCTCGGCTACGACGTCTCGAACATTTTCAATGCCAGACTGATCAAGGAGCACGTGGTACCTTTGCCGCAAAGCAAATCTGGCAACACCAGAGCATCGAGCGAGGTGCACATTGTCGACGATACCACCTTTCTCGTCCTTGCACGCGATGGAAATGGATTTGGAAACGAGGATGCAGGCGTGTCGTACAAGCATGCGGATCTCATCTCTACCAAGAACGCGACCAATATCGCCAATACGCCATTTGACCAGGTCAACTTGCCAGTCTCTCCAGCTGGTCGGATCAACAACACCATCGTTCCTGCCACCTACCAATCCTTCATCGACCTCGCCTCCAGCGCCGAGCTGGCCAAGTTCGGTCTCAACAATGGAGCATCTGGCGTGTTCGACCGCAACCTGCTTTCTGGCAAGTTGGAAAGTTTGGCAATCGCCAGTGCGGGAGATGAGCAGAACAAGGACGACGTTTACCTATTCGTCGTTTCCGACAACGACTTTATCACGCTGAACGGTAAACAGGCGGCTCAGGACTCGACGGGCAAATACGTCGTTGGCTCTTACAACGACACGTATGCTTTGCAAAAGGGAAGTCAGGATACTCAATTCTTCATCTACAGAGCCACCATTCCTGGCTACAGCCAGGCAGGCAGCGCCAACTGAGCTGTGCGTGCCTGTAATCCCCGTAAGCACACGTTTCACTCTCCCTTTCTTCGCACTCGTGTTTCGTACGCTCCTGCACATTTTGCTGAGCGCTTTCCAGTAATGCCATGAGCCATGAGCAGCAGCATAGTCGGCTGTCGCTGGCTGCCGCTTTGGCTTTACAAAACCCATGATAAGATGCTCTCACCCCTGACAGCAACATTGCAGCATTCAGACAAGGTGCGATCTTGCCACGGTAAACGGTGAACGATGGATGCGATTGCGCTGCCGTGCAGAAGATCCGAGTAGACAAGTCAAAACTTTGAACCCGCTCTCAACATCTCAATTGTAATTTATCGTCGAGCCTTGCACTCCTCTTCTCTCCCTCTCCATACCCATTTCGAATTCCCTGCGATACCTTTCCCTCTGCCTAGCCCCTTCGTCCTCACCGGCAGCAATGACAGAGCCAGGTGCGCCCGCATCCCCGCTTGCTTGTCCCTCCAGCTGGCTCACACCTGCTCGCTGGTACTTGTCCCTCGCAGTACCGTGTGCCGCAAACGGGTCGGATTGTTGAGCGGACTGGGAGCCTGGAGATGTGCTCCCTCTGACCTCACGCGGCATGTCCCTCCGTCCACTCTCTTGTCGAATCTTCTCCCAACTGGATTCGGGAGACGTCTTTTCGTTTCGCAGCGCTGCCCATCGACTTTGATGCTGCTGCTGCTGCTGCGGTGGATCTCTGAGGCCCGATTGTGGCTCGGAGAGCGAAGAATCGAACGATGTTGGATTGGAGGAGGAGGAAGAAGAGAGCGTGTAGTCGGATGCGGACGAAACGCGATCGTTTGATCCGAATGCAGAGGGTGTGTTGAAAGTAGGAGGCAAGGGTGCGGCGGTAGTGCGAGGCTGGTCATTGCTTGAAGATGGGGCTGAGTGCGAAGGACGAGCTTGTGGAGCGAACGCATTATCGCCTTGAGGTGCGCCGCTCGTCGCACCGTAACCAAATTGCGCTTCCGACGATGCATCCATGCCCTCCCCTGCAGCCTGCGCAGGATTGTTGGACCTGTTGAGCAGCTTTAAAGGATCTTCTCCCCTCTTCATAGCCTCCTTCAACGTCTCTCTGAAGTGTTCCTGGCTCATCAAGGAATTGATCTCATCTCTACTCCCGATCGCCGCAAAGGGAGCGACGGCTACTCCTCCGATGCCCATTCCTGCTCCTATACCAAACAATCGAGCTATGGGAGAGAATTTTCGACGCGTTACTAGGATACCTGCAAAGATGCCTCCGCCTAATACTCCAACGTTGCGCCATCTACGAATCTTTCGAGTTACGCTCGCTAGCACTTCTCCTTTGAGGATTGAATTGTATGCGGGAGGGGGGATATTGCGATGGAATGCGCAAAACGACCGCGCAAAAAAGAGGTGATATTGAATCAGATCCACCTCTCTGCATGTATGCGCATCTGGGGGAATTGCAGACTTACGCTCTTGATCGGTCAATCGAGGCTCGGCGGGCGAGGCTTGTCCTAATCCTTGCAAGGCCTTGCTCGGCTCCATCAGAGCTCTACGATCATCCTGGGTTGAGGTCGGCATAGCAGGAGTGCTAGCGCTGGAAGAGTAGTCTGATTGCCGCGACATGGTCGACGAAGGTCGCGGCGCTGGGTGTGTGGAGAAGGCGAGAGAGAGAGAGAAGGAGGGGCAGAACAAAAGGTGCAGCTGCGATGGTCCAGATGGCGGTGGATGGCAGAGTCGAGGGGAGAGAATGGTGAATGGAGAATGTGCGTGTCAGTCGCACGTCGCGAGTGCGTGGAGTGGAGTGGTCCAGCACAGCGCGCACTTCCGTGCGTCAGCGGCTTGCCTGCACGGATGCGTGTGTGTGGAGGGAGGCGGAGAGCGGTGGGCGGTGGGCGATCAGATCAGATCACGTGAACTACTCGGTGCGAGCGACTCTTGACTCAAACTCTGACAAGATTCGGTGTCTGTGCGCGCCGCGCCGTCCATTTTGATTGTGATTCGTGATTTGGCGACTGGCGACTGCAATCAAGAATCAGTCTCAGTCACAGTCACGAGTCACGAGTCACGAGTGACTGGCAACGACTTTCGCCCCGCCTGCATTCGTGATTCGTGATTCACCACCATTCACTGATCCACAGGCAGAGCATCATCACTGACATTCTACATTCCATCCCATCACTTCCCCACACATCCGTCGTGTGAAGGCTGCTTCGACATCTCGCGCATCCCGCACGCACTGCCCGCGAATTCTTCGGCTTCATGCAGACGAAGCTTGCAAGCGTCACCGAGCCAACAGCCGATCTGAAGAGCATCCAGGCAACACACGCTCTCACTGGGCAGGTCACGCAGAACGAGACCGGGAGTCAGTACGAGGCGATAGGATGAAAGCTCCCAGCTGAGCTGAGCGGGGTCGCGAGTGTACGTGTGTGTGTGTGTGTGAGTGTGTGTGCGTGTGCACGGATCATCGTCGGTCACACTACCAAATCACTCTGCAGACCGAATCACGCCGAGGCAATCGAGTGACGGAGGAGTGCCTCTGGTCAACGCAAATCGTCGGCGTGTATGCGCATTGACAGGCGTCCTACTTCTCCGCCGCCGCAGCAGCCTTGTGCACGCGTCTGCCATGACGGCTCACAACGAGAGTAGCAGGGAAGAGGCATCTGTGCATCCGAGCATACAGCCTCGAAGCAAATATCTCGTGCCGCCCTTGAGATTCAGCGTAGTCGCCTTTTCGCCCTACCCTTCGAACAGCACCGCATCGGCATCTCATAGCAGCCATTCGCAGCATGTTGCGGCCGTAGCCTGCAAGGACGGCGCGCAAGCAACATCTCCAAAAATTCAAGATGCGCCAAAGGAAGCCGCGCCGTGTCTTGCCCAAACGCTATACAGAGGATCGCACCCCAAACCTCGCAATCTGCCCTTCTTGAGCCGCCTACGTTTACGCTCCATCCTCTCCCTCACTCCCAAACCCTTGTCCAAGAGTGGCCCATTCAAAGACTCGGACGATGGCATAGAGGAGTGGGCGCAGAGGCGCGGGTGTCGGTTGGAGTGGATAGAGTGCGCAAAGGGAAAGGAAGAGGAAGTGGCGCTGGATAGAGGAAGCGCCGATAGGGCCATTGCTGTGAGTGCTGACTGACGATGCCCTGGACAAATGATGAAGAGGGCTTGCAGTCGTAGAGGAAATGGCAGCGCTGTAGTTGGACCAGCGCATCTACTTACGCCGCTAGGCGCTTGCCCTCTACTTGCAGTTCATCCTGGACAAGCGCAACCTGCCCTGCTACGTGCACGACCTCGATGCCTTACAAGTGTCATCGCTCCTCGTGGCGCTTCTGCGAAAGGTGCAAGCATGGTCGCACGCCTCTATCCAACTCGAGATGCGCTTCAACCTCTGTTTCGGCACGGGCAAAGTTTTCAAGCCCAATTTGAGCAATGCCGCCTCCCAAGCTGGTCACACAGCGAAAGGAACAGAGCTGGAGGACGACGATAGCAGCGTCGCAATGGCTTTCGTCAAAAAGTGGCACCAGTCTGCAGGCCCTTTGCAAACTCGAGATCCTCAGTCCAAATCGGAAGCTAGGCACGCGCCCTTCGCGGATGACCTTGCACGGCCGTCAGCGGCTGATGGCGCATCTGCCGCTTCCACGTCAAAGCAGCAAAATGGTCAATTGCAGCTCGCTCCCCGCAGATACATTCCGGACTGGGTCTGGCCTGCCCCTCATCCCCTCTCTAGACTTGCTGATCCGTATGACGTGCTGCCGTTCGCCGGATTTGCAGAGGTCTCAAAGCGCGACAGCCAAGTCGTGGGCCGAGAAAAAGATGCCAAGTCGTCCGACGGCTCATTCGTTGCGAGCAAGAATGCCCCAGCTGCAGGAAGTCTCAGCGGCAGGCAGTCGAAGCGCAGCTCAACTTTGATCGAACACGCGCCAGATCAGGCGCAATACCCTTTCACTTCGAATCTGATAGCATCCACTAGCGTATCTGCCCGCTCTTCGCCTCGGCTGGTAAAGGCGGCGCTGCCTAGCGTGAACGGAGCGGCTGCTCACACACCGGACACGGAGAGTATCTCATCCAGCAGTAGCGGCACAGCGCACCTTGGGGTCGGATCCCTGCCTGTTCTACACCCAACCCTCAGGCTGAGCTTCGAGGTGGACCCCACTCTTCCTGCTCCACCATCGAGCTCGAAGCATGCTCAGAAGGCTGAGCAACCTGTTCACCCTCAACCGGGCGCTTTGAGTAGCAGACCGGCCACACCTGCTCGAACATCGTCGCCACGCCCCTCGGGCTCCAGCGCGGTCGTTCGGAGTCGGGAGAGGACGATGCTGCCACCACCATCAGATCAGAACCGCACCCTGGCATTCTCTGCACCCACAACCCCTGGTTCTTCGAGACCTCAAACGCCGGTCAGACATGGCAACGGCAACGGCAATGCGCGATCTGTAGACGCATCGTTCCAAGGCAAGGCGTCGTCTTCACCTTTGATCAGCGCTGCTGCGGACTCGTTGAGATCTGCCAACACATCGATCGGCCCTTCTAGAGCTACGTCGCCAGGCGGTAGCGCCTCTAAGCTTGGAGACGAGGCTCGAGGGGCCATGGAAGGTGATCTGGCCGATTCGAAGATGGAGACGCGCTCGCCTGCTGGGGTCAGATCGCCAGATGCTTCTCGATCTGCAAATGCTGATTCGCAAAGGCAGAACGCAACGTTGGGTCTTGTCGGATTGGGCTTGGCTGGCTCGGATACGAATCGAGCTGCACATTCGTACGCATCCTCGTCGGTGTCGATGACATCGACCGACTCGAATGCCACCATTCGTCCCCTTCCTCCACCTACCAGCACAGCCTCGCAAACTGGTAGCGCAGAAGCTGCTCATCTGGAATCGCAGGAAAATTTCAGCCAGGACGTGTTCGGTCCGGTGTATGGTCAAGCTACGAGTTCCGCTAGCACGAACGAGTCGACGGCTCGTTTGGCACGCGTGCGCTCGCCGCTCGGCAAGCACGCTGCGCTGTGTTCGGATCCCGCGCACGACGACGCATGCGTGGCAGCGCGCGAGGTGGATTCGAGCAAAAGGAGCAGGAGGTCAAGGAATCGATCGTCGACTTTGGAGGAGATTGGAGGCGAGGAGGATGGGTCGGCCTTGGGCGCAGTAGACTCGGCTGCTGCGCTTGGAATGGGAAAAGATGCGATGATTGGCGCGCGTGGGCAAGGGTCGATGGATCAGATGTTGATTCGGAAGGGCAATGACCGTTGCGGACTTGCGCGAGAAGAGGAGGAGGAGGAGGAGGATGGCGCTATGCAGTGCGGCACGCCGCCGCTGCCGTTGTTGGGGAGCGAGAGGGGCGAAGGGTGGAAGGATGAGAGGGCTCATGAGGAGGCTGGTACGATGGCGCAACAGCAAGACGAACGGGAAGCAGAGCCGCTCGTAGCGATTCTGGCACAAAATCAACGAGCCAATGCGGGCGACGTCGAAGGGGCGCAAGAGGAGGAGCCAGAGGAGGAGGAGGAGGAGGGAGAAGAAGCAGAAGAGGAGGAAGAGGAAGAAGAAGAAGAAGGAGAAGAAGAGGAAGAGGAAAGGTATTCGGAAGAGGAAGAAGAGGAGGAAGAACCGGCTAGTGATAGGGCGCTCGAGGCTTTGGATCTCGAAGGCTGGTGATGGTGAGAGTAGCCGCTGTTGCCCCCCCCTCTCCCTGCGCTAGCGTCTTCCAGCACGAGAATTGCCCGCATCGCAAAATCTTGTCAGGGCACTCACACACGAATGGCTTTGAGAGAGTGCAATAGCGTGCATTTTGAAGCAGCAGTGCG